ATTTCTCTTGTTTGTTTGTTTTGACATGAATATACTTCACAGTTTATATATGCTAAATATTGAGAACCAAGCAGCCTAACAGTTTTAAGAAAAAAAAAATTGGGACAACTAATCAATTAATTAGTTTGCCAGTCTATGAAAAATGAATCTCTGTTGGTGGACTTTAATATTACAGATTTTTGAACACTCTGCTCCAGTAAACCCCTTGATTTAAATGGTGTGATTTATATGTAGTACTGGTAAATTTTCTGTAGAATCCATTGATGAGAAAATGAGGATAAAAGATTTTGGATCAGCAAAAGAAATAGTGATGTTTCTCTGTATCTACAAAAGTAAGAGCAAAGGGAGGCAAACCAAGAAACAGACTCTGGACTATAGAGAACAAACTGATGATTACTAGAGGGGATGGGGGTGGGGGATGGGGGAAATACGTGATGGGGATGAAGATGTGCACTTGTGATGAGCACCAGGTGTTGTATGGAAGTGTTGAATCACTCTATTGTACACCTGAAGCTGATAACACACTGTGTGTAAACTAACTTGAATTTCAATAAAAACTTTTATAAAGGGTAAGAAGAAAAACACTTAAAAAATTTAAAAGTTTTAAATGTTTTACAGAGGACATTCTAGCATCAGTCTCCTTGTTTGGAATCCAAATTTGTTTCTGATCTCAAGGAAAACTACTTAACCTTTCTGAGGCTCAGTTTTCTCATCTGTTAATTGGGTATTTTAAAAAAGAAACAACTTATATGACAATGTGGAGGCTATTTGAAGAAGAAAATAATGGAAAGTTCTTCCTACAGGGACTGTGAATTAGTATCATTATTTTGCCAGCCTGCAGGGAAATAATGATTATTTTTAAAAGTATAAATGTGCTCCATGAGTTACATTGAACTTTTGAGTACTCAGAACTGCATACTGGTCTTTAATACTTCTGAATTCTTTTCAGTAGCATATAACAAAAATAACTTTCATTTGATAATAAGATAAACATATCTTTGGTATTTATTATAATGATATCTTCAGCTATTTTATCTAAAATGTGAGATTGTTACACTGAATGAACCCAAATGCCATCAAATATTTTTGTATAATTTGTGTGTATGAGAATGAATGTATATATGTGTGTGTGTTTGTATATATGATTGAGATATATATATATATATATATATATATATATATATCATCCTTATTGTATTTTATTTTATTTCCAGGCTTGTTAGCATTGTATGTTAATAGGAAATAAATGAAACTTTTAAGAAACGCTTTTAAAAAGCTCTAGCCCTTTATGTGTCTTTTTTTCTCTTTAGATGATGTTAACAGCCATTGAAAACCATTAGCTAAATATATTAATTCATTAAGAGTAGAAAATGGGATAGCCTAATTCAGTCATTCCTTCTTCATTTATTACCTGAACTATTTCAGTAAGAGAAATGTTACTTCATTTAACTATTTCTTTATTCATAAGTAGATTATATAGAAAAAGCAAAATGTTTTGTTTTCAGATTATTTACCAGTTTTTTAAAATAATGCTTTCCTAGTATTCTGCAAAAGTTATCAGTTGGTATATTTTATCATTATGAATCATTATGAATGCATTAACCTTGGGTATATGATCAGATTATCCATTTTTGGCCAGTGGAAGCCTATGAAAGTTGGTTCCCAAGTCTTTTTAACATAATCCTAGTAGACATTGGTATGTAATTGTATAAAAAATAAATGGAACTTGAATCTGATCAAGCTACTAAATCTACCAATTTAAAGAAAATAAAGGGAATGGGAGAGCATGTTCAATGATATCTCACAATTAGAAAAACCTAGAGTGTGGGATGAAATAACCTATTTTTTTAGTAAATTTGATTTCAAGTAGTGAAAAAGATAACTGTCTAGTAATTAAAGAAATATATTAAAACAACAATAAGATACCATTACACACCTCTTAGAATGCCTTTAAAACCTGGACAATACCAAATCCTGCTGAGCATGTAAAGCAACTGGAAAACCATATTCTGCTAATGCCATTTTGGAATACAATTGGACAGTTTCTCAAAAATAGGCATTCTTGGGACGCCTGCATGGCTCAGGTCATGATCACAAGTCCTGGGATGGAGTCCCACATCAGGCTCCTTGCTCAGTAGGGAGCCTGCTTCTCCCTCTGCCTGCCACTATCCCTGCTTGTGCGCACGCTCTCTCTCTGACCAATACATAAATCTAAATAAATAAATAGGGCGCCTGGGTGGCTCAGTCGTTAAGCGTCTGCCTTCGGCTCAGGTCATGATCCCGGGGTCCTGGGATCGAGTCCCACATCGGGCTTCCTGCTCAGCAGGAAGCCTGCTTCTCCCTCTTCTGCTCCCTCTGCTTGTGTTCCTGCTCTCGCTGTCTCTCTCTCTCTCTGTCAAATGAATAAATAAAATCTTAAAAAAAAAAAATCTAAATAAATAAATAAATAAATAAGTACTCTTCCTATAACCCAGGAATCCCTGTTTACTATGGAGAAGTAAAAGCATAGGGTCATATAAAAATCTATACATGAAAGTTTATAGTGGCTTTATTTATAACAAATGCATTATGCTACGTGAAAGAACCAGGCCCAAAAAGGCTTCATGCTATATGATTTCATTGATTTGATGTTTTGGGAAAGGCAAAAATCATAGGGACAGAAATTAGATTAAAGTGGTTGCTAGTGTCTGGGTTGTGGAAGGGATTCACCAAAAAGGATCATGGGGGAAATTTGGGGGGCGATGGAAATATTCCATAGCTTGATTGTAGCAGTGGTTACACGGATGTGGGGGTTTGTCACAATTCAAAGAAAAGTACATTTAAAGAGGGTGATTTTTTTATTGTAAGTAAATCATACTTCAGTAAATCTAACTTAAAAGTTAATGGGGGAAATTAGATTAAAAAAAAAACAAAAAACAAAGAACAGTGTCAACTCACTGCAATGAATAGCACTTATCTTGAACTCGATTTTCCTGTTCAAGGTAAGTTGAGACAATAGGGATATTTGATGACATTAAAGAATTACTACTTGTAATAAATTAAGATATTGTTGCTATATTAAAAGGAGTCTTTATCATAGAAATATACACTGAAATTTTTGTGGATGATTATTACTGGAATTTGCCTCAAAGAAATTCTGCAGTGGGAGAGAGTAGGTAAACATATATAGATGAAGTAAGATTGACTATAAGTTGGTAATTATTGAATCTGGGTGATGAGTACATGAGGGTTCATTTGACTGTTTTCTGTATACTCTAATATATGTTTGAGAATTTTCCACAATAAAATTTAAAGAATTACAGCTCAGTTTTACAAATGTATATTTAGTAAACTGATTTTAACAGTACTGAAAGAATATTCTACAATGAGTAGAGTTCATCAGAAATTGACGTATGGTTTTGTACTTAAAAATTAATAAAACATAGTGATTCAAATAAGAAAAACCACAGAATCCTTACAATAGACACCAAATAGCATACTATCAGTGGAACATTTTAAAACTACAAATAGAAAACCCCACTTTCTTGACTATGTGAAGATCTAAAACTCACGATGAAATACCAAAGCATTGTTTCTCAGAGTATGATCCATGGCCTACTGGCATCTAGGGGACTTGGAGTTAGTAGTTAAAAATAAAGATTTGAATCATGGGCCCTACAATTTAACTCCTGGAAACACCACAAAAATCCTCCCCATTTGATATCTATCTTTCCAACCTCATTTCTATCCTGCCAGTTCCCCAAATAATCCCCACTGCTAGTTCTGACACCAGCAACTGAAAACTGATTTAGTTATAGCTCAGTTACTTTATTCTAAAAATAAACCATTTGTTTCTTATCACATCTAATTGAAAGTCCCTTTGTCCTAGGTCAGCTCAAATTGCATCTCCTTTATGAAATTCTCCCAGACCTCTGTACTAGCCCTAATGTAACTTAATTGCTAGGCTATTATATAATCTTCCATTTTAAAATTTAACAGAATATGTTCTAATCATTTGTTTTTCTGTCTGCCTTTTGATCAGATTATGAGTAACTTTTGGTCAGGAAAAAAGATGCATGGTTTTTATTTTTGCTTTTGCCTTAGCTGTCAGTATACCCACACATACAATAATAATGTAATCTATGCTTTAAAGATAGTAGATTTATTAAAAATGAGTTGTTTTCATACTATGCAAATCATATATAAGGGCATTTAACAACATTAAAAGGAGCTACAGAAGCCTGCTTTAACAGTTTTTCTTTCTTTATTGTGGTATAAAAAGACTATATATGAAAGTCGTGGGGGAAGCAAAGGTGACTATTCCATTGTTGGTCCCCAAACTGGCCCCCTATTCATGCAGGCCAAGAGAGACTGCAGAAAGAGGCAGACCACTCCAGATTGGTAGGTGGCAGGGCTAATAAGCAAGGAAACTTGTCTTGGGCAGCTGCAAGATTCCACACCCACCCACCAGAATCTTAAAGTTTGCATAGAAGCCTTAACTGGGTTCAGTCATGTATACTATCCAGGTGGTCTCAACAACATGTTACTCTCTCAAGGCTCTGTCCTTAGAACAGCTCCCACTACCGAAACAGTAGGCAGAGCTTACATTCTGAGGTTGGGGGAGGGGAGTGAAGAGCCCCCCGTTGCCTGGGTCCAGCTCAAGGGTCAACTGTCAGTCACATCATCTTGATTACCTCCATCAACATTTATCAGTTTTAAAAGCCAGCTATTAAAAATGACTTAATTCTGTCGCTCAGTTATCTATTTTATTTAGCATTGTTAAACACAAATTACATATTTTGAAAATAAGTTATAACTACCTCATGTATTTTATCATTACTTAATGTTATTATATTAGTATTTAGTATACACAGTTAATTTTAAAGTAAATAATGCAGCATATTAAAACTAATGCAATGAATAATAGTAAAGGTAGTTGACATTAATGATTTAAATAACGTTTTTGCATCGATTGAAAAATTCATGTAAGGTTTTTTTGTTTTTTTTTTTTTTAATTCCAGTTGTGTTGCTTGATACAACAACTGTGCTGGGAGAGCTGGGATGGAAAACATATCCGTTAAATGGGGTAAGTTTAAATATGTTTTCAAAATTTTCATCCTTGCTAGGTTTTTAGGGTCTCATAATAGTTAAAAGAACAGTGGATTTGGGCTCTAGGTAGTATTAATTTTAGCATATAACTAAAGTTCCAGAGAAAAGATTAAAATACAATTAGAACTTGTAACCAATGAGAATGTTGTATAAAATCTTTGCTTTCTTTTAAATTAGTCTTTCTTTAATATAGTGTTTATATATAGTAACATTGGACTGTCTCCCATATAAATGTTTTCTCATAGAAAAAATTTCTGTGTATAAGTTCAAGACAGTTTTTTATATATAGGTTTATTAAATTTGGTAACCTCAGTGAGTATTTGTCCATAAACTTTAGATTATCATAAGTGGATTTTACAGATATTAACAATTTGTTTTTTATTAGAAAATATCTGTACTAAAGTAGTATGTGTTTTTTGAACTTGACAAAAAGAAATATTATGATTAGGTTTTTGTTAGCTGAGAGTTCTTGCTTTTGAAAGTCGTGTAATTTAAGGGTGTGTAATTTACAAACTACAATTTTTCAAGTACTGATATCATTTTAGCTGTGGTTATAATTGCTTTTTAATATGGTTTAATGTATTTTGCATCATTTTGACATTGCAATGTATTTCTACTTCTTTTTTTAATTTTAAGTTAAAATGAAAGGGTGGTTTGTGAAGCTTTTTATTTAGATTTTGTCTAATTAAGCAAAATGTTCAGTAATGGAGGTACTCAGCTGTTATTCAGATATACTTGGGTTAGCTTTTCTTCCTTTTTTTAGAAATTGTATTTTTCTCATTCATCAGATTCTAAGTTGATATTTTTACATTGCTTTTTCCATTACATCTGCAAATTTAAATCCAACAGAAGTTGACTGAAAAATGTTTAATTTTTTAGAATCATTCAAATGTTGTTTGAATTTGGCCTTTTATAGCAACAGTTACTCATTTACAAATATTGTTTGAATTTGACCTTTTATAGCAACAGTTACTCATTTAACATGTGTGTTTTCAAGTATAAATTTCTATGAAGAGTTAAATCTTCCTTTTTTCAACAGGCTATTTTTTCTTTAGATTTCTTTGTTTTATAGACCGATTTTATTTTTTCTGAAATTTTCGTTTTATTCTCATAAAGCTCTCATCAAACCATTTCTGAAAATAAATCTTTGAAACTATCTTTATACATTCATGATCTTATTTTCATTAAACATCAATATTTATTGACTGTATTAAGCATGTCAAATTTATTACAGTTACTTTGAAGAACGAATGAAACATTTTTTTAAAAAATTATCTTCCGAGATATGTACCTCTTTCCTTTCTCAGTATACAAAGTAATTTATAAGAACTTATAAAGTTTATAAGTGCTACTTTTCCATTGTTTAAAAAAATGACAAAAAATATTAGTGATTATATTATCACTGGCTTCATGTAGTCATAGCCAAAGAATCGTGTGAGGAACAGAAGGAGCTATATCCCTGCTCCAGTGATTGTATTTGTCTTGACCAGGCTGCATTTCAAAGCATACTGGTGAGGAGGAGACACAGGGACTTAAAGGGTTACAAATAAACTTACTGCTATTGTTCTCTTACTGATCTTGTCATAGGTGTTGTGAAAGGGAGATTTTTTTTTTTCCCCTACTCTTTCTGGCTTATTACTTAGAGAAGGGGTGGAATTGTTTGAAAAGTAATGCTTACCCAGAAGTTTTCTGTTTGCAGACACTGCGCTAAGAATTTTATTTTATTTTCACAATAGCCTGATGAGGTATATCTTAGTTCTGTTTCCCAGTCGGAGAAACCTCACCTTAAAGAAAGTAAGGAACACAAAATACCGACAAGTTATAGGTTAAGTAGTGAGTGATGAGATTTAATTCGAACTTAGTGATTTCTGACGAAAGCCTGCATCTTCATCATGGCACTAGTAACAGACAGGAGCTTTGGAAACTTCATGAAAGTCCAGTCATTTATGTTGATATTTGCATAATTGATTCAGATTTCTTTTCTCCCTTTGGTAAACATAGTACTTGACTGAGATGAACATTTTGGACACCAGCCTCAGATTTGCAGGAGGAAAGGGTGAAAGAAGAAAGGAAGGAGAATACAGGAGAAAATAAGTAGGATGGATTAGGTTTAAAAGGGAGGGATGGTTAATATTTATCAAGCGTTTACCATATGGGAGGCTTCGTTTAAAGCAGTTTACTCACATGAGTCCTAGAAATCAATAATAATTTTACCCCATTGAAAGATATGGAAATCGAGACTCAGGTACATTAAATGACTTTTACAAGGTCACAGAGCTAGGAATTAGTGCAGCAAAAATTCTAAGCCAAGTAGATACTTACCTTTAACACACACATGCTTTTTATTTCCTGTAAGATTCTACCATATAAATATAAAGACCAGTGACCAACATGTATAAACTACAGAGGGAAAAATCACACAGGGATTCAGACATTAAGACATAAATTGAATACTCAGTTACCTTGGAATGTCACTGTTGGAATGAGCTATGTTACTCTTAGATTATCCCTCAAAAAATAGTGCGTACATAGCATGTGAAAGCAATAGGAATACTTGAAAATGAAAACATATGGACATAGTTTATAATAGATGAAGCTACATGAATTAGGTGAAACAAAGGTGAATCCAGGGAAACAGTAAAATGGATATATGATTTACGTAACAGTAAAATGGATATATGATTTAAAGAAAACATATAGCTTCAATTTCTTTTTAGTGAAGTGGGTATATTACTGTTGAGAATAAAGTTTACTTAAAGCTCTTTATAGGTTAAAACAAGTAAGGAAATAATCAGTAAGGATGAAGAACTTTGCAAAAGGCTCTAAAAATGGTGAGAATTGGGCGCCTGGGTGGCTCATTAGTTAAGCGTCTGCCTGCCTGTGGCTCAGGTCGTGATCCCGGGGTCCTGGGATCGAGTCCCACATCGGGCTCCTGGCTTGGCGGGAAGCCTGCTTCTCCCTCTCCTCCTGCTTGTGTTCCTGCTCTTGCTATTGCTCTGTCAAATAAATAAATAAAATCTTTAAAAAAATAAAAAGGTGAAAATGAAAATCATCTAGACATCAATATTAGTTAAATAATTTAAAATCTATAGAAACTGTTAATCAGTTTTAAAAGGATATTTATTGAGCACTTTCAAATCTTACCGAAACTCTGAGAATCATTATTCCCAATTTACAAGTGATGAAGCAGAGATTCAGAGTGTTTAAGTAATAGAGCCAAGTAGCTATATGAATAGCTACTAAATGAAAAAATTGAGGGTTAAACTTGCTTCCACCTGTATCTGAGAGATGTGGCAATATTCACAAAATCCTTCACATATGCAAAAATAAGGCAAGGCTAACACTGTTTTGGTTTCTTCCACTTAAGCCTTATGCTTTAGAAGGTTTTTCTGTTAGAAAAAACTGGGTGTTGCTGATCACTAATATCTCAGAAATTATTCAACACTTAATGTCTGTAATATTCCTAGTAACCAAGTAAAATGGAATTTTCATGTCTTTATATTAGATCTGTACATAAACATTTATAATCCAATAAATAGCGGTATTTGGATACATTAGAAATATTTTTTGGGGGATGCCTGAGTGGTGCATTCAGTTAAGTGTCCAACTCTTGGTTTTGACTCGGGTCATGATCTCAGGGTTGTGAGATCGAGTCCTGCATTGGGCTCCACACTCAGCAGAGAGTCTGCTTAAGACTCTTTCTCCCTCTCCCTCTGTCCCTCTGCCCCGCTGCCCTGTTCTTTCTCTCTCTCTCCCTCTCAAATAAATAAATCTTTTTAAAAAAGAATTTTTTTATGTTTCAGTTTATAACATTTAAACTACCATTTATATCTGTATATTAAAATTGTAATTTTATCTGTTTGAAATTGTATGACTTTTTCCAGGTTGTCAGGTTTGTTGAGGCATGCTAATGTGAATGGCCATTTTGACTAAAGTTTACTTTTTTTCAGAGACACTATCTCAGTTGATTTTCAAATATGCCACGGGTAAAAAAGACAACTAGATAAATTTCGCAACTCTATGAAATCAAGTAATTGGTATTTCTCTGAATGAAGATTTCCTAGGAATAACTTTTCAATTGATAATTTTTTTCTATAAAGAGTTGAACTAAGAGACATCTTTGAAATTATATACTATATAAAATATGTGATTTAATGACTTTAGAGATTTTTAAATTTTTTTTACTTAAAATAGCCATCCCACCAGTAGTATCATGCTACTAAATGGAGTAGACATTTACAATGTCTGTGAATAAAACCCATTACTGGTAATTTGAGTAGGAGGTAAGCACCTCTGGTTAGAGAATGTGGAACATAGATGAGTGAGTAGTTTTGAACAAATGACTTCTTAGGCTTGCAAAAATGAAAAAAATATATGTGTATGTATTTACTGAAATGCTTGCTAGTCAACTCATTTGCATCAACATTTAAAATATGTGATGTCCACAATTCAGTTTAGCAAACTTCCATTTTATGCTCTTTGTGCCAAGTACCTTGTTAGAGTACTTATAGCTCCAGAAACCTCATAGTATAGAGATCATTCTGCATAATCATAAGGTCGGAGAGTGTCTTCAGGCAGTTTTGCAGAATGGCTTGTGAAAGAATAATGAAGGGAGGGATTAATTCTGATCAGGGAATATTGGTAGTAGGATGTGACATTAGCTCTTTCTGATAAACTGTGAAGGAATCCCAAATGGGCTGGACAAGAGGGTGGAAAGCATCTGCTAGGCAAAGAGATTAACTTGAGAAAAGACAGAGCATTCTTAAACGTGTGCACTAAGTTTTGGGAATGTTGAAAATATTTTGTGTGGTTGGAGTGAAGGGTTTTGTGGTAAATAGGACAGTGATTGTAGGATAATGATATTGTGGAAGACTTAGAATTTCAGTGTCTTAATTGACGTAGGTAGTGTATAGCTCAGTCCCCGTAAATAGAAGTAAGAGTAAAAACTTTCTGGATTCAGTGAAACAAACAAACAAA